CAGGGGTGTCATGTTAGCGATTTTCCAGTTCTCTGGGACCCTCCATGACTCTAGCGATTCCTGAAATATCACCACTAACGCTTCCACTGTCTCTTCAGCTATCTCCTTTAGAACTCTGGGGTGTAGTCCATCTGGTTCAGGTGATTTATCCATCTCAGGCCAATCAGTTTTACTAGCACCTTTTCATTGGTGATGGCCACCACACTCAGCTATACTACACTGTGTTCTGATTTGCAAATTCCAACCCTGCCTTGTACCGGCAATATTACAGGGGGTAAATAGCCTAGTGGTTTTATCACTGGACTGTTAATCCAGAGACACAGACAATGTTCTGGGGATATGTGTTCAAGTCCTGCGAAGGCAGATGTTGGAATTTGAATCTGATATTGAAAAAGAATCCGGAAAAGAAATTCTATTGATGACCATCTAAGGGGGAAAACCCATCTGGTTCACTGGAATCTGCCATCCTTACCTGTCTGACCTACATGTGACCTCAGACCCACAGTAACATGGTTGAATCTGAAATGCCCTCTGGGTAATTAGGGATGGCCATTAAATGCTAGCCAGCAATGCCCACATCCTGTGAGTGAATAAAGGAAAACTAAATCACTGGGTGGAAATGCAACAGCTCAGTGAGGTGATGGGGGACAATCTTGGTAAATACTGAAGAAATTTGGTTCTGATGAGGAAACGTACCGGACTTGTAACATTTACTCTGCATTTCCTTCTCTCTCCACACACGTTGCCAGACCCATTGAGTTTCTCTATTTTTCGTTTCAAATCTCCAGCATCCACATTGCTTTGCTTCCACTCATGGGAAAACACGTCGCATTAATAGGAGAGGTGATGGCCTAGTGATATTATCGCTGCACTGTTCATCCAGAGATCCAGGTAATGTTTCTGGTCAGGGAACTCATGTTTTCCTTTGCTACTTTTTAGTGGCAGCATGGTGGCCCACTGGTTAGCACTGCTGCCTCACAGTGCCAGGGACCCGCATTCGATTCCACCCTTGGGCGACTGTCTGTGTGGAGTTTGCACATTCTCCCCGTGTCTGCATGGGTTTCCTCTGGGTGCTCCGGTTTCCTCCCACAGTCCAAAGGTGTGCAGGCTCGGTGGATTGGCCATGCTAAATTGCCCATAGTGTTCAGGGATGTGTAGCTTAGGTCAGTTATAGGGGGACAGGTCTGGGTGGGGTGCTGTGTGGGTCGTTGTGGACTTGTTGGGCCAAAGGGCCTATTTCCACACTGTAGGAATTCTATGATTCTATGTTCTGGGGTCCCGGATTCGAATCCCACCACGGCAGATTGTGGAATTTGAGTTCAATAAAATATCTGGAATTAGGAATCTAATGATGACCATGAATCCATTGCCGATTGTTGAGGAAAAACCCACCTGGTTCATTAATGTCCTTTAGGAAAGGAAAACGCCATCCTTACCTGGTCTGGCCTACATGTGACTCCAGACCCACAGCAATGTGTTAGAATCTTAACTGCCCTCTGACCAATTAGGGATGGGCAATAAATGCTGGCCTGGCCAACGACACCCTCATCCTGAAAATGAATAAAGGGAAAAAAAGTACGACTTATGGATGGAAATCTCTCAGGGATATCCAGATTGGCATGTATGTGATTCCACACTCACTGCAAGGAGTTTGACTCTTAACTACGTCTGAAATGGCCAAGGAAGCTAAAATAGTACAATATGATGAAGTGGTGGATGCGGGTATAATTACAAAGTTTAAAAGACATTTGGGTGGACATATGAATAGGAACAGTTAGGACGGATATAGGCCAGGAGCTTGCAGGTAGGACTAGTTTAGACTGGGATAATGCTTGGTTTGGACTGGTTGGACCGAAGGGCCTGTTTCCGTATTATATGACTCTATGACTCTATCTATGATGAGGAGGGTCGGTCAACAAACGCTTGTCTTGTCCAGGGCAGAAACACACATATCCCTGGAAGTATTAAAAACACCATGAGGCCATAAGACCAAATAAATAGAAAGACAAGTAGGCATACAACTCTTCATCCACCTCTGCTGTAATACACTGCGCAACACGCATAGGCATATACAGGCAGACACAAACACACAGGACCACACACACACACACACACACACACACACACACACACACACACACAATTTAATCTTCACCTCCCCCTGCTGGGTCATGAAATAACCACAATCATAGACTAACAATCTCGCTTTCACCTGCCTGAGTTGGGTACAATAATAATCCTCCTGGTTCTATCTGTGGCTTTGTGACCTTGTTACCACATGGTCAGGAAAAATCCCTGGATAGACTTCTTGTCACACTTCAGTTTCCTGATTTTCCACTGGCCTTTCAAACACAGTAGGCATCACTCCCACCTGTGATCCAGCTTTATCATTCCCAAGGATTAACTGTATTTCCTGAATCAAGAATCTCTCTCTTACTCCCACCACCACTTCACTAATTTTCACCGGACTCTCTAACCTTAATTTATATAATGGAACAAAACTCTATTCACCATGAATTCCACATATTCCCACTGATTCCGGCAATACTCCTTCTGAACTACATATCTCTTGACTGTTGACTTGATCCCGTATCTCTCAAAATCTTAAATTCTTTACCCACTTCCTCCTGCCATATGTGAGAGCCCATCACCTACTGAAGGAAATTCTTCAAAGAGATCTGGCACTTAATTTTCAACCCAACCCCTCACCAGGTTGTTCATTCTTTTGCAAGTTTTTAGCTTCCACTGTTCCTTTTGTTACCACTCCAACAATATTCCTGGCTTCAGAGATAGTAGGAACTGCAGATGCTGGAAAATCTGAGATAACAACGTGTAGAGCTGGATGAACACAGCAGGCCAAGCAGCATCATAGGAGCAGGAAGGCGAGAGGGTTAGGGTTAGTCTTGGCCTGCTGTGTTCATAGCCTTCCTGCTCCTATGATGCTGCTTGGCCTGCTGTGTTCATCAGCCTTCCTGCTCCTATGATGCTGCTTGGCCTGCTGTGTTCATCCAGCTCTACACCTTGTTATCCCAATATTCCTGGCTTATCCTGTTTTCCCACATTCATCTGCCCAGTGCTTTTTCAAAACCACCAACACTGTGACTAAATGCGGCCTACTTTATTACAGTGAGAACGCCTCAGCGTTTCAACTTCTCTTTCATCCCCATGGGTTTCTTTTTTACCCCACGGTAAACTATCTTTATTATCTTCAATAGGATCTCCTTTTCCCTTACCACCTGAGGATTTCTCTTTTCCCCAGTTTCTATCCCTCACAGATTGAACTTGATGCTGGAAGCCAAACTTTGATTTATGAAACAAACCATAACCATCAGCCATTTCAGCTGCTAATCTTGCAGTTTTAACTCTCTGCTCTTCCACATGAGTTCTCATTACCTCAGGAAGTGAATTTTTGAACTCCTCCAAAATAATTGTCTCTCCAGGAGCATCAGACATTTGATCGATTTTCAATGCCCTAATCCACCAATAGTAACTAATTTGTTTGATCGTTTCAAAATCAATATACATTTAACCAGGTTCCCTCCTTAGATTCTTAAAACATTGTCTGTAGGTTTCTGGTAGGAGCTCATATGCGCTTAGGATGACAATTTTCACCTCATTACTCTCCCCAGCTAACTCCTCTGTTAATGATGCAAATACCTGACTTGCTGTTACTACCAACTTTGTTTGAGTCAACAAATCCAAATAATCGCTCACCCTGTCCATCGCTCTCATGATCTTATACACCTCTCATGT